GCTTAGAATGGAGCGGAATATTTCCGTTTTTTAATTACAATGCTTTTGAGTAACAAGCTTATTTATTGTGATTTTTTGATGAGGTGGTACTATCTTGCATTTGTCCTTGTCTTACAAACACTAACAATGCCACAGTCTTGGTTATGTAAGCCCGCGCTAGAGTCTGGATGAAATGGTGGCATTGATTGTTGTTTGGCGCCTTCTTACGTGACGGTGCAACTTCTATGAACACACTCTCCGTCAGTTTAGTGTCGGGGCTCAAGATGTATCGTCTTCCCTTCAGCACGAAGCAGAGCCGGTGATTAACCGGTATGTTCCCTTCTCTGCTGATTTACCGCATGTGTTTCATAGGCCTCAGAGCAGTTCACAGGTCATTAAGCACAGAAGTGACATTAAAGCCCAAATATGAGGTCTCACTGCTGACTAACTCACAGGAACTGAACCTGAAGCAAACCTCTTGGTATCTGTCCTCATCTCATAAATCAGCATCCATTAGATCACTGTTTCAAGGTTTAATGGTAGAAACGCAGATGACTGCTGCTGGGGTCACATGGGAGATTTTCACTGGTGCCTTTTCTCCTCACTCTTACTCAAGCTAAAGCAGACCCTGTCTGAGCATAATTCAATGTAAATGAGGAAAGAGTTATGTCATATTGTTAAATGTGTGCATTAGTTTCCATTTTTCATTCTGCCCATGTTTGTGACATAATGTGTTGTGTGTACTCCTCTAATTTACTTGGTGTTTTTGTATCAATGCAACAAGCATAAGGTAGATAAAACATCCTTGATTTGAGCTTGTTAAAAAGCATACCTTTGTGAACTGTTTTTGCAGTGTCACAGATACACTAAGAAGAACAAATGTATTTTCCCCTTTTATTTGTCAAACTAATAAAGAACTTAATTACATCTTTTTCAAGTTTGAAACAGCTACAGCAACAAAACTTTATGAAAAAAACGTAAAACTAACTATTAATTGCCCATAATCTGTCTCATCTAATGGGGGGAAGTCGTTACATAATGAAAAGAAAACAATCTATCTCAGAACATTGACTTAAATTAAATGTAACAACTGTTTTTTTGGTCAATCTTAGTGACCACCGAGGACAAACAGACGCATCTTATCTCCTCGCTGATCTTGTCCTGTTCGTCAGTAGCCCTGACTGGCTGACAAAAATCCCATTCTGCTGCCCTTTAGCTGTCAAATGTGTCACTCGTCCTCAGTCTTTGCTGTGGAAAATGAACAAAAAGGAGGTTTTGGAAAAAATTCTGTTAATCGCCTTGTCTGATAACAGCCTTTATAAATTAGTATATATACAGTAGAAATAATCAATCTTGTAACTAGTGGTTTCGTTTTCCCTTTGACGGTTTTAGAGAAGCATCAGTATTGATTTCAGTCTGTTTGACAGCAAGCTAAAAACTCCTCAAAGGATAATTAACTGTACAAAAGCACAATATTTACATACTTCATACACTATAAGCCTCTGGTCAAAACAAGGGTGGACATTGATGTGGGCAGATCTTTAATGCCTGCTACCACTTGTGATATTTTGATCTGTCCAGCCTTGATGACCTCGGTATTGGACATCAAAAACTTTCTTGACGTTTAATGACGCGAATCAAGACATAATTAAAATTACCCTTTTCTACAGCTTCCTTTAAAAACTCTCCTCTCATCTGGATGCCTCAACTAATAATGTTATAGAAGAGGAGCCTGCTTTGTCACATGGAGACATTTAACTCAGATCATTTTGTTTCTTGGCGGATGTTTTTAAAAGGTCATCCATGCTTTTATGTCCTTGAGAATGAACGATGACAACACACTTTACTTTGGTATCAAGAGGCCAAACGTCCAGATACTGAAAACTTCAAGAAAACTCTGCTGCCAGGCTTTCAGCTTGTTCTCAATTGAACCAATCGTTTCTCCCCTTTACTGGTGTCCTGTGAGTTGAAGAATCGATTTTACTTCTTGACTTGTCAGGCTCTTGTCTTTGATCAGCTGACTCCCTTTGATCCCGATTTAATGCTCATGGTCCTCTAGCAGGGCTCCATTAATGGTACCATTGTAAAAGGTGCGCAATGAGTGTATTCCTTCTCCCCTGTATCTTTTAATTCTTTATTCCTCCAATAACATGTTTTAAAGAAAGCCTGAATGATCTTCTACCTCTGATTAAAATGTTAGAGATTTATGTATTTTAAATCTTGTGACAGTATTACGTTCAGGTATGACAAAAGCTGCCTGGATTATTCTTTAAAGAACAATATCCTATTAAATCATCAACCCCACATGAATCAGTCCCTTTGGTCAGTGAAAGGCGAGAGGGTCTTTTTCCTCCCCACCTGTCTCTCAGGTTGTAGCAGCTCGGACAGTGATGTGGCAGCTCTAATCCTTCTTATCTTAATAGCATCCAGCGCTATCGCCAGAGCGGCAGGGACAATCGACCACTTTCCTTTCTTTATCAGCAAAAAACACCTCCCTCACCACTTTGTACAGTCACATTCTTCTTTCAGACCCCCCACCCGCTCCATCAGGCTCCTCGGCTGGTCTTTCACTCTCTGATATTACCTCATTTTATCGTCTCACAAAACTAGTGATTATTTGGAGATGACTGGTTCCAGGAAAATATCAAAAGCTCGTTGGGAGACTTTGTTGAGAAAGGACAAATGTTTTCCATGAAACCATGGGCTCGCATGCGCGCACACACAGTAAAGTAAACAGGATTTGTGTGTACCTTGGCTCGAGGTTATTTTCTTTGCCTCCTCATATTCCAACTGTGACGATGTCTACTCTGCCATAAGGGAGTTAAGAGAGACTTTTCAGATCAGATAAAAAAGCAGAGATAGAAACACGCAGTGGACCGTAGGTAATACCAAGTTTGCTTTTTTTTTTTCAGAGGCCTCACATAGAGTGATTTGTGTAACCAAAAACTCTGACTCCTCCAGACAACCGCTAAACTCCAGATAAGTGTAGAGATCAGGTCTGAGCAGGCATACATTTTAAAGTCATGTCAGACGTTATTTTTGTACTCTCTATGCAAATTGGATCTCAGTGGGCTTAACTTTGAAACAATATTTATTCAGATGGATTCTGGTTGATTAAATCTTGCAGATGGTTGACGTAAAGTAAATAAAACAAATGTCTCAGCTTAAATACAATTACACTGAGCTTCAGATTTGCAGGACTTTGACTCTCTGACAGAAAAACTTGGATACAAACACATTCACTTAGCAGACGCTTTTATCCAAAGTGACATACATCAGAGAGTAAGTACAACACTAATCCATTCATACACCGCACACATTTATGTATTTTGAAAAAAGTAGTGCATCTTAAAAACAACAATTCAGCCTTGCAAAGCCAGCATTATGTCAAAGGAAAAGAGCTGCCATGTTCAAATGGTTAAAAGGATTAATATCTTGTTTCAGAATTATAATTATTGATGATTCAATACTAACAGCTATGTTTTACCGATTACTTTATGTACTTTTTAGCAGCAGTTAATAAATGTGGGTCCTGCTCTGTGTGACTTTTCTTTCTCTGTGTTGTTCAGTCTCTTTATCATGATGAAGCTAAAACAGTTTAGCTTTACTCTAATAAAAGATATCTTAATGAACAGAATAAAAACATGTAATATTGTTGTTTTAGAGATAGGGGCTTAACCCAAAGAGATTCTGTGCTGTTTTAACTTTAAAACAGTAATGTGAATTAACACCTGTTGGATGGCTATTTGTATACTAAGTTCAAACACACAAAATATTCTCAAACATTATTCTGTTCATAAATTCTATTTTTTTCTTCAGGAGGCATTGAGAAGGCTTTCTCTTTTTTTGCAACTGAGACTGTTATAAGATGAAAGGTCCATCCTTTATTTTTATTCTTCTTTGGTTAGTCAGTGTACTTGACTCCTTTCTGAAGTTTTGAAATCAGCCAATCAACAGATTTATCATGTAACAACTAAAATATGAAACAACAAATATCAAGCGTGAGTAACTATTCTGAATGTAAAATAAACTGTGAACAGTTCAGACAATGGTGGGAACATTTGTAGGAGAAGCATGAAACAAACATTTTGAAGCAAGATGGATGATTCTTTGCAATTCAGTCTTTTTTTCCTGACTTCTTTATTCAATCTTTTCTTACTGTCTTTATCAGTGGCTGAGATGAAGTTTGAAAGGGTGATGTGATGTTCTTGTTTGATTTAATGTTCTTTTAAGCACCAATCAGAGTTTATTAATCTTAAGATGAAACTTTAATGACATTAGAGGCGGTGTGGGCTTGTGTTGTCAGATCACATTCTAATCAAACTGCAAACACACAGTCCTGATTCGGTGATGAGTTGGTGATTAAGAACAAGATTTTTTTTCTAAACTTGATGCGTCTTTCGTTTAATATTCAACCTTTGGGCTCTAGAGAGTGTGGGTACTGTATTGAAGGAGCTCGATAAAGTTCAAAATAAAATAAAAAAGTGGATTAAACTACTATGCAGCCAGAACTTTGAAAATCACCTCCTTTACCTATTAAATGATGTGTTTAGGGCTCTAAGTCTTAACTAGGTAATCGCAATTAATTCAGGTCTGAGATTAATGCAATCATTTTTTGATGATAAGTGGATAAGGTCCTTACTTGTACAACAGACCAGGCGTTTCATTTTTTCATTTCAAAAGTTATTATTATATAATAAATAAGTTTAACCTTTGGTTTCCTCCAATAATGACATCAAAATAAAGGATCTAAGGTGATAAGTTGTTGTTATATGAATAATTCTGCTTTTCGATTCTTGTTGTTGATGTGTCAGTTATCTGTGCCTAATGAACGATGATGCCTCGTGGCGGCAGGCCGTAATTGCTGCGAGCCCAGCAGTGGGGGTGTAATTAGGGAGACATGGAGGAGTGTTTGACTTCATGACTGGCACCGTTAAATGATAATAGAGTGCAACTCAACAATACCGTGGTCAACTAATCATACTGGACCGGCATTGGACGGCTCTCCATGCAAACAAGCCATGACTGGAATACTGAACAGCAGCTCACCCATGCAGTTCCACACCATTGGCTCCACAGGGGATCAGGCACATGATTACGTCTGTGACCCTGCTCCACCTGCAACACCATCATTATTGCATCCACGGATGGACAGGTTTATTGTCATCATGCCACAAAGGAGGAAGCTGCCCTTTAGGGGTGATGGGAGAAAAATAAATAAATGAGTCAACAAACTGGGTATGTTTAGAGCAGGAAGCTGCAATCAACATGACAAAAATTACTTTCACTAGGATCTACTATCAACTTCAGCATGAAAAAAAAATACACATTTGGTTATATGCATCCCTAGCTCTTCAAAAATCTAATCCAATCAAATTCAGCAGAGCAGTTCAACTATATTTATAAAGTTTATAATAACCAGTTTTAGTTCAACTTCAATTCAACTGTATGTTTATTTCTGGGGTCGTAGTTGGTGACAGTAATGCAAAAGGCAGCATCGTCTGAAATTTGAAAACGTTAAAATGTGCGTTCTTTCTAACTTGACCTTCATCTTCCCTCCTGACAGGGAGGATGTCAGATCATGAAGCTAATATTGAAACCTTTTTTACTCTATCTGCATTAGTCTTCTCATAGGGTGCAAACCTGGATAGTTTATAAACCTGAGAGACTGGCCTCATATTTAGTTGATATTTAACATTTTGCTTTAGTGTTAGGGGTTCAATCTTATATAGGCCTACATTAAAAAATATATATTAACAAATTAAAAAACCAAACAATATTAGTTCAGTGTTGGCACCCAGTCCAAAACTCAAAATCAGCTCTATCCTTACTGACCATTATCATCTGTGTCCAGTAACTTATTGGGTAAAGGGCGCCCTCTGTTGTCAACATCATGTCTTAAATAAAATGTGTGCCTGCCCCTTTAAGAAACATCTCGTCATCACGCAACGTACGACGGGTAGAACGTTCACAGCCAATCAAATCATTGTTATCGACGCGTTGTTATGGAGCTCGTGAAGTCTAGTTTGAATCGCAGAATAATCTGAAACTTCCGCTTCTTTCTTCTTTGTTAATAACATGAACTTGATCTAAACGAAGTATTCATTCTTAAAACATGTCCTTTTTAGACCGACTTGAGGCATTACGACATCGTAACAAAGACTTATTGAACCAGTTGAATGAGCAGAGAGGGAAACTGGAGCGACTGAGAGGCTGCAGTCAAAGCAGCGAGAGGGAGGACGAGCCTGAGGAGAGGAGAGAGAGAGAGTCTGAGGAGAGGAGAGAGAGAGAGTCTGAGGAGAGGAGAGAGAGAGAGCCTGAGGAGAGGAGAGAGAGAGAGCCCGAGGAGAGGAGAGAGAGAGAGCGCGAGGAGAGGAGAGAGCCCGAGGAGAGGAGAGAGAGAGAGCCCGAGGAGAGGAGAGAGAGAGAGCCCGAGGAGAGGAGAGAGAGAGAGCCCGAGGAGAGGAGAGAGAGAGAGCCTGAGGAGAGGAGAGAGTCTGAGGAGAGGAGAGAGAGAGAATCTGAGGAGAGGAGAGAGAGAGAGTCTGCAGAGGTCGTCATCCTGACCGATGTAGACCCCGCTCTAGCCAGGGCAGCCCTCGCCAAACCTACAGTGACATTTGCAGGTAATGAACTCTGTGTGTGTTTTTTTTTTTTTTTTTTTTTTTAATGAAGCCAAAGGCCTATCGTGCCATGCCATGATTTAAAAATCTGTGCACTGAAGTATGTAGCTTTGGAAACATAAATAATGTCACCACACAAACTCAAAGCTTGGACGCATGTCTTCAAAGTCTCTGGTTTTTACTCTGGATTTTATAATCGCCCATTATATTGAGTTTTAAAGCAAAGAAATCTAAATCCAAATTAAACCTGTGAGTTGATTTGTTTTTCTCATCTAGAGTAGTTGACAAGGAGAAGGCATTAAATCTTTTGTGTGAAATGTGTGTGCCAGAAAAATGGCACACACATCTGACACAGTTGAGCATGTATGTCAGATAATGTATGCGGTTAGAAAACCTATTTAACTCTACACACAAAAATCATGAATCTCTGACATTTGCTATTTTCATGTTGCATATATACATGTAGTTCATTTAAGCTGTGCATCCCAAGTAAGGAAGTAAGGGGGGTAAAAAATCTTATTTTTGACTGATAAATATCTTCTCTTTCTGTGTTTCCCAATAAGATGAATGTGAGAATCAAACCAGAGTCCAAGGCGATGGATCAAGACCATGTTTGACCTCCAAACACAGCAGAGAGACAGCTGACCGTAGGCCTACAACAGCATCAGACCATTTCAAAAACAGCGACAGGCCTTCTCAAGTCCACAACAGGCTGCGGGACACAAGGCCACCCAGCACCAAGTCCTGTCTAAGAAGTCAGAGTGAGGAGCAGGTAAGAAAAGGAACCAATGAAAGACTAAACAAGTTTATCGCTGATCTTGTGGAGTAATACATGAGCCCTACCCTGACCCTGTCCCCTGAATTTCAGTTATTACATAAAGTAACAGGATCAGACTGAACTGTAATCAAGATCATTTCCAGCCCTGATTGTCGTGTTAAAAGAAGAATAAAATGTTCATCAGCCAAATAAACACAACAGTTTGAACATATTTAAACTTCCACTAGGCGGTCTGCTTTTGTTCAGCACAGTTTGATACGGTAAACCCTGATCTTGCTTGCGTTTCCACAGCCAACCGTACCCTTACACATCACTAAATCACAGCGGCGCGACATAGTGTAGACAGCCAATAAATTCAACAAAGAAGACAAAAGTGGCACAGTAAACAAAGGTCAATGATTCCTAGGAAGTTCTGCATCTCAGAGGTCGTCCACCCTCTTGCCATTGGGCGATGCTACGCACTGACATTAGTCGCCAAGAAACAAAAACAGCCTTGAAATGACTCTCTCCAAACCACTGGACTTTTAAACATGGTGCGTTTTGTGTTTGTCCTTTATTACCGCTTTCACACAGGAAGTGACGAGTCTTTCAACCAATCAACAGACTTCTGAGTGTCTAGCTCCACCCTTTAGGGATCAGATTGGTACGCTTGACACCCCAACAGAAGGGTGCCAAAAAAGTAGGACGATATGGATCGGTTATTCTTACCAGAATAACCCTTCCCAACTTTTGACATTGGAAACGGCAATAAATGTGTACCGTACTGTACCAAACGGAACTGGACCACTTGGTGGAAACATGGCCCAAGTCCCCAAGTATCATTTCCTAGACGTAAATAAGGGCATGACACTAAATATGTTTTCCAGAAGTTCAGCAATTATGTAGATAAATGAGTAACCCAGTTGCGAAATAATAAAGTTTGCTTCAATGTGTTTTTAATTGATTGTATAAAAGCTCCCAGCTCTGTAAAGGTGCATACACAGAAAACAAGAGTTTATAAATATTCCTCTAGTGGACCACAGGGGGGCGCTTTGGAACTATTTATTTTAACCTTGTTGCCATAAGTACATTTTAAGCAGTTACGGATGCTTTATGATGTCTTTCTAATAACCCGTTAAAATACCTTTTTTAAATGTCTTGTTTTGTCTGTAAGAAAAGTCTATTAGAAAAAAAGTTTACTGAAAACATACCACACAAATTCTGCTCCACTTGTTTGTTTTTGTAGAGGGAGGAGTGGAGGCGTGTCACGTCTCCGGTTGATGGATGTGAAGAGATATGTGCGTCTGACAGGCGTCATTTGCAGCCTCTACTGGGATACGACTGGATAGCAGGTACGCCTTGTCAGTCTTTCTGTTTTATACACACAATCACCTCATGCAGCCCTAACACGTGATGTCTGTTCACTCAAAGGAGTCCTTGACACTGAAGACTCCTTGATTGAGCACACTGACGCTTTCTACAATGACCTGCGCATGTTTCGATCGCTTAACAGAGACGAGTGTGTCCACAGCTCACAAGCAGAGTGAGTGCTTCACTCTTAATTGCACTTGTGACTAAATATGTCTGTTATGTTTACTGGTGATTACTGATGGCTCTTTTCTCCTCCTAGATTTTCAGAGGAGAGCCATTCAGTGCTGCCACCTCTAACTGGCAGTGATGACCCAGAGGCTAATGTGGATACTCATCAGTGTAAGATCTTTGATTCTCTACTCTCATTTGTCTTTTCATGAAATCTGAAGTATTTCTCATGTCTGCTTGTTCACCTTTTTTTTTTTTCAGGTACTTTCTCCTACAGGATAAACAGCAGACTGTTCCCGGTGCCTCTTCACTCTCAGGAATGCTGCACGGTTTGCAAAAAGCACAAGTCCTCCCACCCTCACACTACTGCTGAACCAGCACTCATCAGGTAATAATGATGTCATCCCCACTGACGGAGCAATATTTCTTTGTTTAAACGAGTCCTGTTTCTGGCTTCTCATGTTTGTTTGTAAACGTCCCTATCTAATACAGATGCTTTGTGTGTAGCTATATAAACTCAAGAGCAGAATAACAGGTGTCATCAACGTCATCATTATTACGAGAAAGTTTACAAAGGTTTGAACAATCTCATAGCACGGTATTAGTCATACATCAAATGTGTAAAGTGATGTATCGACTTAAGATACTTCCATTTTGAGATTGAAAGATGCATCATCAGCCATTTTACACCTGTGTGTGTGTGTGTGTGTGTGTGTGTGTGTGTGTGTGTGTGTGTGTGTGCGTGCGTGCGTACGTGCGTGCCAACCAAAGTTACTCTATTTGGTGATCCAAGCTTTGAATTTGTGAGATTGGTCAGATTATTTGGGGCTGATTGAAAATCTTTTCTCTGGATTATTTTCATTTTCAATTCATACGATCAAAAATCCGTTCGTTGTCTTCCTATCCCAGCATCGTACCTCTGAAGAACATGTAAACTTCCTCTTAACATTTCTTTTTCTTTTATTTTTAAGGGTCAGCATCCCTCGCTCCACCCTCTTGCCATCTTACAAATACAAAGCTCATCGTCGATGCAGTTTTGACCCTTCGGACAGTTTGGGGTTACCATCAGTGAGTAAGACTTTCCTCTGTGTGACAGTTTATGACTGCTCATCTGTGCCATTTTCATTAGTTTGATTGTTACAAATTGTTTTTTTAACCACTGTGTTTGAATTAAAATAGTAATGGGATTTCTCTCTCTGGTACAGCACTGTCTCTCTGGCTGGTCAAACAAAGGTCAGAGCACGCTGCCTCCACCCAGCAGCCTCGACCTGAGGAGCAGTCTGAACAAAAAGAGCTCCACCGAGTTACTATTAGAGGTGAGATACCACATGCTTTGTAATTTTTCTCCAAATAAAGGAAAAGCAAAGGTAGAACTAAACTAAGAATATTGACAATACCTCTGTTCCTTTAAGTGTCCCCCTGAGTAACTGTTGAACCAATAACAAAGACCTGAAACTGACCTGGCTAAATACAATGCAGTTCTTATTAATAGTCTTGATGATTAGACCAGTGCTTTTTCTTCTTCTTTGACATGTCAAAATGTCTCCTCTAGAAATCGTCTTAACTTCAATAATTGTAGTGTGAAATCTGCCCTAGAAGCACCTCGATATGGTTGGGAAAAAAAATAATTGTTGAACCTTGTGAGCACACATACAATCTCAAATATGAATCTTATTTTTTGTAAAATATATTTTCTTAGGATTTCCCTGAATCCAAAAAGTCCAGTAACCAGGTGTGTGACCAGATCTCAGATGTCTCCTGCTTGGCTCGTCACAAATTCCAACACTTCTCTCCTAAAAGGAAACTGGGAGGCAAATCTTCCCCAATGTACTGACAAGTCGTCAACATCTGCTTTATTGATTTTAGCAGTTCCTGTTAACCTTCCCATGATGCCCGAAATGACTTCCTTTTTAAGTATCTGCAATGTATTTTTTTGTTTTTAAATGTTTAAATTTCAGTAATCTCTGCTTTAATGTGAATTTTATAAGTAGAGTTGATACAATGATTTGAATAGAGAATGCCAGACTGCATTGACATCTGTAGTGAGAGGGTCATGCATAATCAGCAGAAAATGAAATGCTAGATATTAGCATTTATTTCCTGTTGGAACAAATTTAGACACCAAATGTGACTGTCATCAGCCTCACGCACGAGACAAGAAAATAAATCACAACCATAAAGAATTTTTGAATCATCTCAGTTACTCAGACAAAACCGCCTTTCCAGCTCTTTGCTATGGCTCTTAATTCACTTCTGCTTTCTACTTCCTTTGCCGCTTCCTTAAAACAGGACAGAGAGCCAGACTGTAGAGCGGCTGTCATTGCAAAGGATGTTTTTCACAAGAAACCACCAAGAGCTCTGTGTCACAGTTTCTGAATCAGTTCCACCTATGACACTTCAGTTTTTCCACTTTGTACATTATGAGCTAAAACAATTGAAGACACGAAAATATGTAAGTGCTCATTCAATGAAATGAAATGAATGAAATGTAACTGTTGATTGATTCATGTTGAAGAGCAACATATCTGATTCTTTTTTTTTTTCTTGTTGTCTTTTGAACTTCAAACTGCTTTGTTTTTTTTGCTGCACAAACCGCCGGTTTCAAAGCCAAACGCCGCCCGCTTCTGTTATCTGTTACCATACAGTTGATCTTTATCGCAGATCTCGGATTCTACGACACGTGAAGCGTTGTGCTAGATCACATTTGTGATAATGAGTTTCAGTTCAACACAAACTGAAGAAGCACCTTGTATTTTAATTCTCTGTTCTTTTCAACTTGTAGAAACAACAAAGTCTTTGCTTTGAACAGACCACAATGACATTTTTCAGGAATGATAATCTGTGATTTGTATTTTTCAAAGTGAAATAAATCACATAAAACATTAGTAAATACTGAAGTCTGTAGATGATTACCACTCTTTCATTCTATTTTCCTTGTAACAAATTCAAAAAATGTAACATAAATTGGTGGAATTCTTTAAATAATGACTTGAAGGGTTGTGTTCAGATATTTCAGTTTAAGAAAATGTACAAGAACAAAGTTATCAGATGGTATGAAAGTGGCAGTTAGTGTGTTTTGTGTGTGTTTTCCTTCTCTGAATTGTCAGATTTGTTTTATGTTGGCATGATATTCATTGATTGATTGTAATTGGACAGAACCATCCAGACATTTATTGTTTGCTTTTTGAGTAAGGGGGCAGGCAAAACAAGATTTATTCTTCTCCCTGCTCCTTTCTGTACATGGGATAAAGTGTGAATTGTTTTTTTTTTCCTTTTTCCTTTTCTGTTTTGTGTTTTGACATGTACAGAACAAAAAAATAATCAATGAAAAAATGAAAAACAATACTGAATTCTGCACACCATTTCTTAGCGCATACCTCACTTTTTTAAAATCTCAGCAGTCATTGCTCTCTATTTCATACAATACAAGAATTAAGAAGAGGGGCGCCGATCGGCCTAGCAGTTGGGTTGCGCTCCCCTTGTACTGAGCTTGTAGTCATTAAAGAGGGGGCCCCATGTTCACCTCCAACCCTCAGATTCTTTCCTCAATGTCATTCCCCTCTCTCTCCAATCCGATCCACTGTCCTGTCCTATGACATTAATTCATAAAAAGCCCAAAACGTAATCTTCAAACATGAGAAAAGATTACAGAGAATCTCAAACAATGAAAAACTGTTTCCTGTTAGCTGTACATGCTGTCATGTCTTAGTATAGTTCAGGTAAAAGTCTAGACAAATATGAAAAAGTGATGCTTTATGTAACTGTGCTGTACTTTTTGGAAATGACGTGGCAGAATCCCACAGTGTACACAGTCAGTGCAGTCAGACATTAAAGTGGGGCAAGGCATAAACAAATAATGCTGAAACCTAACATAAATGTTCAATTCCAGGAGTCACATGTATCCTTAGAAAGAAACTGAAGGTGTTTCATTAAAAAAATCATCATCAGAATGACATGATGAGACTAATTTAACACTGCTGCTACTTCTGTGCTTTGAGAAGTGCTGAGTATGTGGGAGGGGAAACTCTATTGTGAAATGTCAACGTCTCATGCAAGAACAAACAAACGACAAGCACAGGGGCATTCATCTGGCCAGCACGTACAGAACTGAACAGAAATATAGAGAAGACAACTGTCACTCTTGACCTTTTGTTCAAGGCTCACACAGTTGAACGGATGAGAGATAGGCGTGTCTTCATTTCTTGAGATATACTCGAATGAAACTGGTTTAAACTGCATTTTGATGTTTAGAGAAAGAGACAAAACATCTAAGAAGACGTGTGAACGCTTTGCTAAAATACATTCATCTAACACTAACAGAGGCCAACCCTCGTGTAGACTTTAATGTCCCCAAGGGGAAATTCTTTTCCACAGCATGTATGAGTATATGTGTATGTGTTCTTCATATTCATCCACACTACTAACAGTAACAGAAAGCCAAACCTTGGCCTGTGGGTCAGGAATGTGGAGCAACAATACCTTTATCTATCTAACGATCCGCTACAGTATCCTGCCACAGCACAGAGGGACAGAAACGCAGATCAGGCAGAACATAAATCAAGCAGTTTCTCTTTAAGAAAGGAAGGACTTTTTGTAAACGTTTTTAATCCTGACTCAGGTTGTGCCGATACTGAAGCAGTTGGCAAGATTGATGCCCTTTGTGAGACTGAACTGCAATTGGATTTTTTCTGTGTAAAAACAGGAATAGAAATTGAATGAGTTCACTTCCTGTTTTCTTATGGACTTTTTTTTTTGCTATAAAATTCTGGTGACTTAACATTACGAATGGCATCAACCACTCACAAAGGGAGCTGTGCAGATTTACTTACTTTGAGTCAAATAACAAAGGTATAAGGCCGATATTTACCTGTCTTTCAAGGGTTTCATCTATTACATTTTAGTATTGGGGTCAAGTGTTTGGCTTTGGATTTAAAGAATATCCTAAAGTTCCAGATTGACTTAGCACAGGGGACATACTATTACTTATTCACTGTGACATCTTTAATCAAGTTGCTACATTAATGATGATTGATAAAAAGGGTTATTGTGTAAGTATTCAAACAGGGAAATAACATTGTATCACCTTTTGTTTTCGATCACACGAAAAAAAAAAAAAAACCTCAAATGATTCAAGACCTGGCCTCAACTCACTCTAACCTCACGGGGTATTTTTTTTCACATCAGAGCTGAGAATGTGTCTTATGCCTGCCCGTGGTTTCCTTCCTCCAAACTAACACTCGACTGAGTTCAAGGAAATCGCTCCTGTTTTCACACACCGCCGGACCGCCTTTTTAAAAAATGATCAGTGCTGCACACATGCTGGTGCCTGTATCCTCAGTTTAAAGACGCAATGAAGGACATACTTGTGCTGCTGGTTCTGCTGAACGTCCGAACTACTATGGTATGTTTTGTGTCCGTCTGTCAGCCTGTCGTGCATATTTGCGGTGTTATCAGGGTCTGCTTGGATATCAGGCAGTGGCTGGTTTCATCCGATGACTGTAAAACTGCTTAAACACAAAGGGAAAAGAAAGTTTAGCTTTAAAGTTTACAAGCAAGAGCCTTTTTAAACCATTATGTATATTTACTCTCAAAAGTGAATCTTTTAAACATGTTTCTATTAGGGAAACTCTGCCACCTGTCTGAGTAGAAAAACTGAGACCATTGTTTTTTTATTTTTTAACTGATTTCTCTGCATCAAATCCAGTTTTGATAATGCCCTGAGCTTGGTTATGGTTAAGTCTTACTGTATAGATCTAACACATCTTTGTGCTGAGGTGAATCTTATGAATATTTGGTTTCACTTGGTTGATTTCTGATGCAGTTTCAGAATGAATGTCTCATTGTTCAGACTCTCGGTTTAGAAATAATGCACAAAAACACTTTCTACTGTCTTCCAGTTTCATTTTGTATTTCTGCTAAAGAAGGTGAGTAAGTTTTAAAAGCTTCACAGAGGTTCAACTTGACATCTTCACATCACCTGTTGCCACACCACAAAGCAAGCCTGTACCTCATAACCGAGGTTCTGCTAGCTTAACGCCTCTACTTCCTGTTAGACGAGAAATACACTGCTGTCAGCATATTTTAAGTTTTGCTTGTAATTGGATGGCAATTACAGCAAGTAACTTTTTTTTGCACGGGACAGGTGTGTCGTCATCCATGCACTGTTTCACAACAACACACAATATTCTGGTGTTTGTGAGGGAAGGGTTGCACCTGCATGATGCACTTATGCAGAACCCACAGCCTGAAGACTTAAATAAAAAAAAAAGAGCTTCACAGAGAGGCGAGATACTGTAAGGGTGAAATCCACCTCTTGAAACTCAAAGGCTGCCTGTTGAGAAGGTCTCAGCTCAGTCCTGCAGCATTACTTGAAAGGAAAAGATGGGTGCAGTTGTGGTTGGTCTGGTTCAACTTTAAAATCTAATTTAAAGGGGTAAGGCTGTGTCATCCTATGAAAACATGTATTATAAAATGACAACCTTTTGTTATCTTTAGAAGGTAAATGACAAGTTAAAGTGTTGGTCTGACATAGAAGCTGGCAGCAAACTCCCACTTAAGTCATTTCAAAACAACTTAATTTTCTTGAAGCTCAATCCCCAAACAAAGTCTATTCAGCTAACGTGAATCAGGGGATTAATAAATACCTGTATATGTTTTCTATCTTCGTCATTTGCCAAAGAGAACCCGCTCAAAGTTTCATCTCCCTCTTTTCAACAGGTCTGCTCTAAGGCCTATCCGCCAGACTCAGCTGGAAAGTGTGAGGACCCAACAGGAAAATACCTGTCAGAAATTTCTAACCTGTGCTGCAAGAGGTGCCCGCCTGGTAGGTGCAGAGAGCCATATCTATACTATGATTCATTCTATACTCAAAGACAAAACTGTCTCAGTACTGAATTAGAAGTAGAAGTCAGCTGATGACACAAGTTGTGAAAATGTTGGTAAAAGCTTGGGCGTGAAGGTGTGATGATGAATACATTACACCTACTGTAGTTGATGATTATCATTTATCACGACTAGATCTCTTCTGCTCTATCAGCTAGGACAATACACCAGCTGACATTAGGTTTCTTTATACAATATGTCTATGTAAGCAATATATTCATGCAAGACTGCGTTATGGATATGCTGAAATAGATGTGTCAGCCAAAGCCACAGTCTATTCTTAGTCTAAGCTCACTGAAGAGCACCACTGTTTGCAAAAGTGCTCACATCTTAAACAAAACCAGCAGTACCACAGTCAACAAGGGTGATCCCTGTGACTGAATCACTCATTTGTGAATGGAGTACATCACGTCTTTGGATAATAACTAGTGATGTGTTGTGTGTGCGTGTTTGAATTACTAATGTTGCAGAAGAAAAGTCATTTATATAGATCATACTGCAAAAGCTATTTGTTAAAATGGAATAATCAAATAAAACTTAAATACAGTGCCTAAGTAAATCTACTGTATTTGTAATACATCTCCACTGACAAGTTTATTTTTAAACTGATAAATGTCACAATGATTTTTTTTTGTGGTCACAACTTCCAATTTACTTCTCCCTGCCCCCTGTAGCTACTTTTGCTAGGTTGGTCAAACTCTGTTCTTTCTTGCACAGCAGATATTGTAGCAGATAAGATAAAAAAAAACCAAATGAGTCCTTGATCTACCGATGATTTTGTCTTTTAAACTCAATTTTCCTGAGCAGATTATCAGTTGCAGTTAGCAAGCTAAATAAAATGAATGTTTGCTTTAAGATTTTGTTCAAGGAAAAACTCTGGCTGACATTTTTATGTTCCTGCTGACTCAGTAGGCAACTTCCGTAGCTTCTGATCTTGTGAAACATGAAGAAATTGTTCTTTTTTTGTAAGGCAGAGCTAGTTAATTACAGATTACATGAGCGTGATCC